CTTCCTCCTTCCTCATCCGAGGATGATTCCAACGGAGGTACAGGTGACCCCTCTGACCTACGGGAAGGAGCCGCGCTCATCGGGGGTGCGGTAGGAGTAAGGCTCGGGGATACCAACAAAGAAACATCTTCCTCCGATTCGGGAAACCGTACCTTCCGTCCCTTACAACCCGCACATTCATCATTCGACTCTTTTAACACCAACATTCCACATTCCTCTTGCCACTTAGGTTTACGCTTCAAATAATAAAACAAGTCCAAATATGGTATTTCTTCCCACTTATCATTATCCTTCAAATATTGCATTAGAGGTGTCATTATTTCTACAGTTACAGTACCGTTTCTCGGCCACTGCATTCCCTCAGTATCATATTGAGGCCACACATTATTACAATAATCAATCAATTGTGTCTTACTTAACTCTTGTCCAAAATTCCCTTCTTTCCAATGCTTTATTATACACCCAAGCGGAGAATCATCAGGGATAGCAGTTTCAGAACAAGACAACGCTCTAAAGGTTTTAAAAGGCATCATACCCACTGCAACATAGCACTCACACAGACAACAAATACCACAGCGATTACGTAATCTGTTTCCACAATTATCTTGCCGTTTGTCACTAGTCACGGCAAGTGCTGACTTCAGCGCAGCTTTCACCGCGTCTTACGAGCAGCGCCTAGGCTTCCCCCAAAAATACCTCTCTCAGCTCAACCCAGCGAGTATACACAGTCTCGTCTTATAGGCAAGCTTTTACCACTAGTGAAAATAAAGCACCTACGGGCTTACCTCGGGCGGTTGTCCGTCGGGCGCGGGGTCGGGCACGGGTCGATATCTCCTCCAGAAATCACCTGACGCCGGCACGGAGTGGATCAGCTCGTGGAGCGCCCCAGCGACCCCCGGAGTCCTGCCGCTCGGTCGCCAGAAAACTGTTGCCCGAAACAGGAACACAAACCAACAGAGTGTCAGTTTATGCGGTGCTTTATTCAGGGCCCGGGAAACCTGAGGACTAGCGTCCCAAGTCAGGATTCCAAAGACCCTCATGTCGACTACATCTTTTATACCTTTAACAAACAAAGCTCCATGATTGGCTCACACATCAAAGCAAATATACCAGTTATACATAAACTTACATATATCATCCTGAATACAATCAACTGTTACCTCTCCCCTCTAACATATTGTGTAACTAACTCCCACCACCAGACTAAATCCTATTTCTAATTACAAATCATCTTGTACCGGTTCTGCATGCTTGACTTAATCCTTTTAGTATTGTTTCTTCGGATCAGCACATTCCTGATTCATAAGTCCCAGGTGCTCCTGGCAGAGCCTCTTTCAGGCCTACCCTGCAAAGCAAACCTCTGACCAAACTACTACTAGTGCTGTAGTCACTGCAACAATACTATCCCATTGCTAGGGTCGGTTACCATGGTAACAATGATGTTTTTCCTGTTACGTCACTTACCATGGTAACCATCTGTAACACACAGATAATACAGAAATGCCAAAAATTGTTTCTGCCTGTCAAAAACTTCCTATCAAACATTCTCTGTCAGCTCTCTGCCACAAGTTCCCACAAGGACTTCCCACAGCACTTTTCCTGCCAAAAGATCCTGCCATTGTTTATGATTATCATATCTATTCCAACATCTGAACTGGCTACGTGCCAAAAAACCACATTCAACCTCCTTTGAACACTATAAAAGTTGAGGGCAAATTCTGGAAAATCAGGGAAAGGAAAGGGAGAGAAAATTGGTGACTATAGCCGAGAATCTCTGCCCACCTCCCCTCACCTTTTCTCCACCACCGCGTGCTGCCTGCCTGCCACCAGAGACTGGAACTGTGCCGGCCTGGAGAGAGCTGAGACCACCGTGCCACATGTGGGAGTTCTACCTTATCCTTCTACCCTGACCATATTTCTGAGGGCCCAAAGCTTTGGCTGAGCTGAGACCCTGCAGGGTCTGGGACAGGGGCGTGAGTGGTGAAACCACACATGGTGCATTGCAGAGAACTAAAGCTGTCAGACCCCCTGCAGCTACAGAGACAACATCCAAAAGCTGCAGGGACAGACAAAAAAAGGGGCAGAAACTGCTACTCACCCACACACACAGACCAGCTCAGGGGAAAGGTAGCATGGTGGTATCTTCTCTCTGCTTTCAGAAGTAATCGTAAGAGTTTTCCAACATTTTCTTATTTTTTCCTTTCTCTTTGCACCTCTTAGCAATTAATAAAATCAACTTTTGGTATCAACAGAAAACTTGTGGGAGTTTTAGTTTTGCTCAAGGGAATATTCGAATCTGAAGCTCCATCTGCAATATTAAGGCAGACTATAACGAAGGACCATGGAAAAGTGGGAGGAACAGGGAGAAAGGTGGAAAAGGGGGGGTGGTCTGGTGGATCCAGCGGTCCCATGGGGGTCTTTGGGTACAAGGAGGTTGGAAAAGGGGGGTGCCCCCCTGAGCTCCCAACTGACTGTGGGGTGCTGGGGCTGCTGGATCCAATCTCAACCTTAGGTTATGCCAACAGGTTCAGTTTAGAGGAATTACAGAGGTGGACTGAACAACTTTTGTCCCCCAGGGTTTTAATGATGGTAATCAGATCTATTGATAGAAATTAATTATTTAGGGTTACAAATGATCAGACAAAAGATCTTCATCAGAATTATTTACTGCACAATAGAAATACTAAAACTACCAGTACTACAGCATAAGATAGGACAGTGCTCTACACTAAAGCAATTGTTGAAGCAATTCTACTCAAGCTGGCACCAAAGCAAGAATTATGAATTAGGGAGGGATGGAACTCCCCCAGACCAACGCTCGTGGGGAGATCTCTGCTCTCAACCTCCAGCACTGACCTTGGAGGGTCCCAGCCAAGGCAGGAATCTCCACACACCCCCCAAGAAGGGTTCTGTTGGCACAACCTGCCCCTGGCAAAGGGGACTGGCCCTTTCTGGTAGAAAGGGATGGACTGACAGTCACTGGACTCCAGGGGTTGCCTCACCATCAGGGGGGTCATTCGGGGTGGGAGCAGCGGCCAAAGCTCTTCCCGCAGTCGGGGCACTCAGAGGGCTTTTCTTACTCGTGGGTCCGCTGGTGTAGGGTCAGGGAACGGCTCCAGGTGAAGCTCTTCCCACACTCCTCACACTTGTAGGGCCTCTCCCCGGTGTGGATGCGCCGGTGGCTGATGAGGGTGGAGTTCCGGGTGAAGCTCTTCCCGCAGTCGGTGCAGCGGAAGGGCCTCTCATCTGTGTGTGTCCGCTCATGCCTGAGGAGATGTGAGCTGCTCTGAAACCTCTTCCCACATCGCAAGCACTTGTAGGGCCGTTCTCCAGTGTGGATGCGCTGGTGTCGGATCAGGTAGGAGCAGTGCCTGAAGTTCTTCCCACATTCACCACATGTGTAGGGTCGTTCCCCAGTGTGGATGACCTGGTGTTGGATCAGAGTGGAGTTGTGCCTGAAGCTCTTCCCACATTCCAAGCACTTGTAGGGTCGTTCCCCAGTGTGGATGTGCTGGTGTTCGATCAGGTGGGAGCTCTGCCTGAAGCTCTTCCCACACTCCCCACATGTGTAGGGCCGTTCCCCAGTGTGGATGAGATTGTGTTGGATCAGGTTGGAGATGCTCCTGAAGTTCTTTCTACATTCCCTACACGTGTAGGGTCGTTCCCCAGTGTGGATGTGCTGGTGGGTGAGGAGGTTGTAGCTCTTCCTGAAGCTCTTCCCACATTCCAAGCACCTGAAGGGCTTCTCCCTGCTGGGAGGCTGCTCAGGGACCACCAGCTCCGAGCTCCGGCTCAAGCTCCGGCCGCCTTCCCGGCACAGGACGGGTCTTTCCTCCTCAGAGCTCCCTGGGCTGGCTTTGCAGCCCCTCCTCCGGGGGCATCTCCGGGCCTTTTCCTCCCCGCTGCCTTCCTGCGCCGGGGAGCCCTTCAAAACGGCCTCTCCCACCAGGCTCTGCCGGGGGGATTTGTCCTCCGTGCTCTCCGTCCTCAGCTCGGGGCCTGGGGCAGGAAGGAAGAAGGACAGGCAGGGGATTTGCCTCCAGCCCAGAGGGAAGGCCAAGCACATCTCCCCAAATTTGGTCCCAATGTGTACCACAAGACAGGGCCAAAGGGGCACTGACTTCCTCCTCACCTGCCTGGGGGGCTCGCGGCCTTTTCGTCTTCCTCTCAGCAGCCTCCTCCATCCGCCCAAGCTTTGGGAAGGACAAATCCTGCTGAGGGGGAAAGAAGGGCTGAGAGCGTTGGCTTGGGGGTTCCTCCTGCCCAAGTCCATCTCTAGAACTCACCGGGAATCCTGGGACCATAAAAACCTCCAAACCACCAAGATTCAGCCCAAAACACATCATCCAGGACCTCCTCCTCTCTGATCTCTCCACTGTGGGATTCTGTAGGTCCCCCCTAGGATCCCCTGGGAGTCCCGTGTGTATTTGGGGTCTCCCCTCTATGGGGTCCCTGCCCTCTCCAGGCTGCTGAGGCTCCCAGGAATCCAAGGCTCCCCCATCTCCCAACTTCAGGGTTCTGGCGGGCCTCCCTCTCCAGGGTACCCTTGCTTAGGGATACCAGGGGTTGGGAGGGTCACAGGGGTCCCTTCTCCCCTGACTCTGCTTTGGGGTTTCTGGGCCCCCAGGGTTTCCCCCTCTCTGGATTCCCCCCCACAAGGCTGAGGGGGGTACTTGGGCACCCCCCTTTCCAGGCTCTCCCCTTTCGGGGCTCTTCAGGATCCTGAGACTCCCCCCTCTCCCCTCTCCCCAGGCTACCAAGGCTTTCCCTTCTCCAGGCTCCCCCCTGTCTGCACTGCTGGGGCTCCAAGGGCTCCCCCTCTCCAGGCTCCCCCTTCAGTGTTTCAGGGGTCCCAAGGGTACCCCCTCTCCAGGTCCCTCTTTCAGGTTTCGGGGGTCCTCCCCCAGCTCCAGGATGGCTCCTCTCTGCTCTCCCCACTCTGCAGCTCCTCTTCCTTCCCTTCCTCCTCCTCCATCCCTTCTCCTCCTCCCTGCAGGACCAGCACCCACCCTTGGCACCCCCTTCCTCCCAAACCCATCCCGAGGGATTTTGGGGGCAGCAGGAGGGGCTGTGGGAGCCCCTGATTGGGGGGTCGGGCTGGAAACCCCCAGTGCTCCCGGGACCCCGGGCTGGAGAGTTGTCACCACCTTCTGCTGCCTGGGGGGCTCTGGGGGGACCTCGGCTCCTGGGGGCTCTTCTGCAGCCACAGAACCTGCAGGGACCTCCCCTGGGTGGGGCCTCCAAGTGTTCCAGGAGCTTTGGGATCATCCTGGGAGCCACTGGGACACACTGGGATCATCCTGAGATCAGACTGGGAGAGACTGGGACACACTGGGATCATCCTGAGATCATACTGGGAGAGACTGGGACACACTGGGATCATCCTGAGATTGTACTGGGAGCCACTGGGACACGCTGGGATCATCCTGAGATCAGACTGGGAGAGACTGGGACACACTGGGATCATCCTGAGATCGGACTGGGAGAGACTGGGACACACTGGGATCCTCCTGAGATCGGACTGGGAGAGACTGGGTCACATTGGGATCATGCTGGGACTGTCTGTAACCATACTGGGGGTGACTGGGACCACACTGGGGGTGACTGGGACTATGCTGGGCGAGACTGGGGTCATACTAGGACTGCTTGGGGCTAGACTGGGAGCACCTGGGATCCCAGTAGGAGGAATAGGGAGACACTGGAACCATGCTGGGGGCAGCTGGGGTCATACTGGGATCACACTGGGAGCAGCTGGGGGAGACTGGGATCACAGTGAGGGGGACTGGGATCATACTGGGAGTGACAAGGAGCAGGCTGGGGGCAATTGGGACCAGGTTGGAACCATGCTGGGGGCACTGGAACCACAACTGGGGCTACTGGGAGCAACTCAGAGAAACTGGGATCGTGCTGGAAGCAACTGGGAGTAACTGGGAAGGACTGGGTGCATCCTGCAGCCACCTGGACCATCCTGGGACTGGCTGGAACCATACTGGGAATGACTGGGATCAAATGAGGAGCAACTGGGACCATGCCTGGGGCAACTGGTAGCAAGAGGAAGTAACTGGGTCTATACTGGGGGCAACTGGGTGTGACTGGGAACCTGCTGGGAGAGACTGGGATCATACTGGCAGTGACTGGGACTATGCCAGGGGCAACTGGGACCACACTGGGAGGAACAGGAAACAAATGGGACCATGCTGGGGGCCACTGGGATCATACTGGTAGGGACAAAGAGCAGGCTGGGGGCAACTGGGACAGACAGACTGGGAGCAACTGAAACAGTGCTCAAGGTGACTGGGTCAAACTGGGAGTCACTGGGACCACACTGAGGGTGACTGGGAGCGGCTGTGAGCAACTGGGATCATGCTGGAAGTAACTGGGAGTGACTGGGAGCATGCTGGGGGAGACTGGTATATACTGGGAGTGACTGGAAAAATATTGGGAGAATCTGGAAGTGACTGGCATCATAATGGGGCTGAGTGGGAGCAATTGGGACCATGCTGGGAGCAAATGGCATCATACTGGAAATGACTGGTTTCATACTGGGAGCAAGTGGAACAACGCTGGAGGGAACTGGGATCATACTGGGAGTGACTGGAAGGAACTGGCATGATACTGGCTTCATTCTGGGAATGCCAGGAAGTGACTGGGATCATACTGGAGGTGACTGGGACCATACTGGGAGCAACTGGGGTTACAGTGGGTGTGAATGGAAACTTACTGGGGGGTACTGGGAGTTTCATGACCCATGCTGGGAACAAACTGGCATCAACTGGAAGATACTGGAACCTTGTTGGAGGGACTGGGACCACAGCTGGGGCAGTTGAATCATACTGGGAGAAACTGCGCCCACACTGGGAGTCTCTGTGACCATATTGGTGCTGAGTGGGACCGCACTGGCAGCAACTGGGATCAACTGGGAGTGACTGGGCTATACTGGGGGCAACTGGGAGTGTCTGGCACCCTGCTGAGGGAGACTGGGATCACACTGGACTCACACTGGGAGTTACTGGCACTGCACTGGGGCCAATTGGGACCATGTTGTGGGCAAGTGGGATATAGTGGGATATAAAAGGGCTCATGCTGGAGGTGACTGGACTCATACTGGGAGTTACTGGGCTCTGGGAAGCTCAGGATGAGCAGGGTAACCCCCCTCCCGCTGCTCTGCATTCCCAAAATCCTTGTTCCCAGTTCCCACTCAGGCCCTGACCAGATCTGCTCTGGGATCCCATTCCCTGGGACACTTCCCTGCCCTCTTCCCTCCTTCCTGCTGCTGGAAATCAGCACTTTGGAGTCTCATCCCATTGTTTGCTCCTACTCTTGCCTATTATTATTGGGATTCCCTTGCACCCCTTTTTCCCAGGCACTGGGATCCCCTGCTAGGCCATTCCCTGTTTTCCAGCCTCCAGATCCTCCTTTCTTTGATTCCAGGACCCCTCCTGCCTCCCCTTTCCCAGTCATCCCACCTGTCCCAGCCCTTGGATCCCCCTTTTCCTTAGCCCCCATTCCCAGCCATCCCAGGTCACCTCACCCCCAGCTCCCCTTTCCTTCACCTCAGCACCCCCTGCAGCCCCTTCCCGGCTCTCCCAGTTCCCCCCTTTCCTTCACCTTGGCACCACCCCAGCCCCCAAATCTCCGGGACTCCCCAGTTCCCCACTCCCAGTGCTTCCTGCAGGGGGGTCTTGGGGGTTCCCAGGGACTCCCTGAACCCCCCATTCCTTTACACTGAGACCCCCCCTGCAGCCCCTTATCTGGGACCAGGACCCCCTGCACCCCCTTCCCCGGCCATTCCATCTCTCCCAGACCCCACACTCCCTTTGCCTTCACCCTGGCACCCCCTGGACCCCCAGTCCTGCCTCTCCCAGTCCCCAACCCCCCTTTCCTCAACACCCAGGACCCCTGAACCCCCTGCTGGGATATCTCGGGTCTCTCCACTCAATGAACCACCTTTCCCTGACACTGGAGGACCCTGGACCCCCCTTTTACTGGGCACAGGGACCCTCTAGACCCACTCTAGTGCTAATTCCTCCATTTCCCCTCTTTCCTTAACTCTGGGACTCCCCTTGAGCCCTCATTCCTGGCCACAGGAACCCCCAGCACCCCATTTTCCAGCTCTGGGACACCCCTACATCCCTAATCCTGCACCAATAACCTCCTGCACCCCCTTTCCCAGACACCCCACCTTTTCCAGCCCCCAGGTCCCCTTTTTCCTTGACTCTGGGACCCCCTGGACTCCCATTCCTGCCTTTCCCAAACACCAGACCCCCGTGTTTTGAGCACTGAGGAACCCCCTGAACCCCCTTTCCTGCCATTCTGTGTCTCCCTACTCTGTGAGCCCCCTCCTTTCCCCGACACCGAGGACCCCTGCAAGATCCAAACCTCCTCTCCCGCAAAGAACAGCCCCAAACCCCCCAACCCCAGAGCCCCCCCAGCCAGCCGGGGCTCAGCTCTGCAGTCCCGCAGCACTTTCTCTCTCCTCTCGCTCCCGGCCCTGTTTCCCAGCTCCGGCTCAGCCCCGCGGCAGCACCAACGCCAGCCCAGCCCCGGGGCCATTCCTTGCCCCTTCCCGGCCTTGCCCCGGGCCCAGCCCGGCTCTCCTCTTCTCTCCCACCCCCCGCACGCAGCTCTGGGGGGCACTGGGGGGATCGGGGGGCTCTGCTGGGCCTTGGCAGCAGCGCCTGGCAGCGCTTGGGCAGTGTGGGGGGAGCTCCTGCGAGTGCTGCCCACAAGAAAACACAAGAGCTGCGGCCACGTGTGCGGGGCTTTGTTGATCCCGGCGGGAATTCACAACCAACAGCGTGGCCCCCACCGCGGGTTCAGCACAGGGGGCTATGTCCTTAATATCCCAATATCCCAATGACGCTCTGGGGCAGAGATATGATAGGACAATGGGGAGTCCAACTAACTACCTCAAATTTAGTTTAAAGGTCACTGGTGAGCCACAATCTCCTGCCCTCACATGGCTCTCTGACCAGCCAATCTGGGTATCCCAGTAGCCCCTAAAGGGAGGGAAATTGCGGCAAATCAACCTACTAGTACATGAACAACCAGCAAAGGGACGTATCGTGCCAACTGATAGTCCCTGGAATTTCCCCATTTTTACCATACAGAAGTCCAATGGAAAGTGGAGACTGTTACGGGGTTTAAGAGAACTCAACAAAATAATAGAGCTGATGGAGGCTCTCCAGCCAGGGCTTCCATCACTACA